CCATTTGTAATCCACATTTTGTGACCAGTAATTATGAGATCAGATCCATCTTTCGTAGCGTAGGTTCGAATTGCTTAAAAAGTTTTACAAGTTATCTTTGAACACCTCAAGATCAGAGAACTTTTACCTGCAACATCACTGCCTGCCTCAGGTTCGCTAACAGCAATGCACGCCACCATGTCGCCAGTCATAGATGGAGTGAGGAACTCAGCTCTCAAAGAGTCACTGCCGAATTCGGCCAATGCTGGAGTGGCCATATGAGTCTAAGACCAAAAAATTCTTCGAAAACCAAAAGGACCGAGCAATTGTCCCTTTCTCACCTGCACACAGATAGACATCGGAATCGCTGCGCAGTCAATGTAGCCCAACTCCTCAGCAACGGCGATAGAGTAAGAGAAATCCATGCCAAGCCCTCCAAATGCTAAACAGTCCAGATTATGGGAAAATAGATTAGATGAGACATTCCATAAACTGGGTTACTTACCCACAGGCTTACTAATAGCTAACACTCCCATATTTCCCAATTGTTTAAAAACGGTATGAGCTGGAAATCCGTGGGCCTCTTCCCACTTTTGCACATGAGGATTGATTGATCGTTGAATGAGCTTAAATCTTTTTGTTAGATCACCAATTTGAATGTTGGAAAGACTATTAATGAAAGGTGCGCAAAACAGAACTGATTAGAAAATAACAGTGTATGCCATTGAATGTTTGAAGGCCAAGCTAATATTACTTTTTTTATGAAGCTTCGTGACCTTTAGGAAGCAATAAACCCATTACGCTACAAAAATTGGAGGTTATATGAATACGTCTACAAAACAGGATTAAAGCTTATCCTTTTCCCGGGGTCCTTCCCCAATTTAAAAAGGTTCTTTCGAGATTATGAAAACAACTGTGCTTTAAAAAGAGTAACTTTCCAAGGTTTCCTCTCACAAGACACATTTTCAAGGAAAAACTTTAAATTCACTTTAATAACGATGTCAAGAACAACGAAACAATGGTAGATTTCGCGCATGCCGTAGCAAAAAGAGACAGCATTTGATAATGTTGAGGTCATAGTGACTACATAGTTTTGAAATAGGGTACAATATAAAAAAATCATATTCGATACATTTCTTAAAAGTAAGATCTGTACCATGCACCTCAATAAAATCATTTTACCTTTTACTTTTGGAAAAGATATTATAAATAGAATTTGAGCACAAGAATCAGCCACTGGATTGCACAAGAGTCTCCATCCTCTTTAGAAAATTATAAAAACTTGTACTGAACTGGTGTAGAAGGACATAAGAAAAAAGTTTTTGTTTCGCTTTTCGAACTATACACCATCGATTATAGAAAGAA